CCCGCCTTGTCTTGGGGGGCGGCCGCCCCCGCTGCAGGCAGAAGCTGCTTCATGGCAGCCTCACCTGTCCACCTACCATGCTGCAGTAGCGGGGGCGGGCGAAGGCAGCACCATGGAGATGGTGCTGGTGGAACCAGCTTTTAAGTCTAGGCTCATCGAGTAGTTGACCACTCAACTAGTCACTTACATCCCTACTTGCCATAGTTATTGTACCATTTTATCTCTGCTATCTTCTACAGAACAAAAATTGCCGTTATAAAACACCTGTCCACCTACCATGCTGCAGTAGCGGGGGCGGGCGAAGGCAGCACCATGGAGATGGTGCTGGTGGAACCAGCTTTTAAGTCTAGGCTCATCGAGTAGTTGACCACTCAACTAGTCACTTACATCCCTACTTGCCATAGTTATTGTACCATTTTATCTCTGCTATCTTCTACAGAACAAAAATTGCCGTTATAAAACTTCTGGACGAGTTGCCACCTGTGTCAGCTATAAAACAGTCCCCATGGGAAATGAAACTTACCTTGAAAAGACAGTGGCTTCAGTGGGACCAGTATCTGTTGCTATAGATGCAAGCTTGAGCTCCTTCCACCACTACCACAAGGGTAAGAATTGTTTTCTTTCCAGGTATTTTCCAAGACCTACATAGTTCTTAACAAAATTAGAGAGAAAGACCCCGAATCAACAAAACACAAATCTAACTTTAAACATGCATGTGAGCCGCTCCACTGAAATCAACATACCTGTTTGTCACAGTTCAGGGTAACAGCATCTGTATTTCTCTTCAGTGGTCCTGCATGGGCATCATTCTCGGGCTTTCAGCAGATACATGTCTCTTTCTGTTTCTACTGGGGGGTATTTTCAGGATGCACCGTTCCCTGCCTTCACTATATTATTCCCAGAAGAAATAGACCTCCCATCCACCTCTGCTTGTTTCTCTTCCAAGACCGATAATAGTGTGATTGTCAAAAGTTATAAGTACTATACAGTTCTTCCTATGCAACCCTGTTTTATTCTTAGGGTAAAAAGCATTGCAGAGAAAATATATGAAAACAATAAAAGAACCTACATGATTAATAGTAAGCTCACCAGAATTCATCCCAACAACCCTAACATGGATTCTGGCAGAAGCAATCCTTCAGATTCTGGCCCAAGTGGATTTCTTGTAGTTACAAGTTCTTCACAGCTTCAACTCAGAACAAGTGTTCTCATAATATGTTTAATATTTAAACATAATTCATGAAGATTTAACTTAATATAGTAAAGTTTATACCAGATACTACAGGATATAGTCAGCCTGCCACACTACTCACATGCCTAAAGTGAAGTACATGTTAGTAAAGCGGATTACTGACTCAAGTTCAAGGAGCAGCCCTGGGAAATTTAAAGGGTGAGTTAACTATTCTGTAAATGCCTACATGAGGAACAAACGTTTAATAAATATTCAAATTAGCAAAAATTGAATATGATCCAATGGCTAGAAGCTAAAACTAGACAAATTCATACTGGAAAGAAGACATACATTTTTAAGTGAATATAATTATGGCAGATTGTCCATCGTGGACCATTTTTTAAAAGGTTGAATTTTTTTTTAAATGTGCCTTAGAAATTATTCTGGAGAAGTTCTATACCCTGTGTTATACAAGAAGTCAGGCTAGATGACCACAGTAGATCTTTCTGGTCTTAGACTCTATACTCATTAGCTCTTGTCTTAAATTAGTCCATAGTCTGCAATGAGCTTCACATAGGTGTATCTTTGTACTTGTATGGAACTCATTGCGGAATTTGAGCTTTATATTGTAACCTGACTTTCTATGCATTTACATAGTCCCTAGTACAGAAGCACAGTGCTCCTGATTGGGGATTCTGAGCACTGCTGTTTTCTAAATCAATCAATCAATCAATCAATCAATCAAAAAAGCTCAAGGTGTATACTATGACCCAAACTGCAATCCTTCAAATATAAACCATGCCGTTCTTGTTGTGGGATATGGTGTAGACAAAGGTGTACCATACTGGCTTATCAAAAACAGGTAAATATGAGTTTTCTTTAATTAAAATAACTTTCAAGTCTTTAAAATATAATTTTGTCTTAAAGAACTGGTTTAATAGAGTACAAAAACAGCATCAAATTAAATAAAATATCTTTTAAAAGTCTTTAACTGTTTTGTTCAGAAGAAGTGGGGTCTGCTCACAAAAGCTCATGTTACCATCTACATGTTTTGTTTGTCTATAAAGTGCTACCAGACCATTTGTTGCTTTTTTAAGTTTAACTGTTTTGTTAGGTATTTCTCTGATTATTAAAAATGAAAGAATATTTTAAAATTCTATTTTACTTTTCACTATTCTGTTTTGGTCTCACACATGACAGACAGCTTGACACAAACTTGTTCATAGAATCATAGAACTGGAAGAGACCTCAGGAGGCCATCAAGTCCCGCCCCCTGCTTAAAGCAGGACCAATCCCAACTAGTTCTGTTAATTTCATTTCCTTTCATAGCCAGTTTTGCATTTTGATTCTCATGGACCACCAGCATGTTAAAGTCTTTGAGTTTCAAAAACAGGGAAGAATGGCTCATTCTAGAAGACAAGTGTGTATATTAAATTGCACCTGCAATTTCACTGAACTTTTTCTATTACAAAAACATATATTCATATGATTTACTATTGATCTAGATTTTGGTCCATAGCTACATTAGTGGCCTGCAAAGAGGAAATAAATACATTATAAGTCTGAAGTAAAATATGAGATAAGTCTCCAAAATTCTCAAATAGAAAACAGATAATAAATATGGAACTCGTGGGCATGCCCAATACTCTCTTTTAAAGAATGTTGTGGAAGTGTTTCCCCCATTTTTAGCCTTTCCTTAATTGTGGATGTGTTAGGTCCAGCTGATGTACCCAAATATTGAGCTTTAATAGGGCAGCTGTGTTCTGGCAAAGATAACAATTGCTATGTTTTTATCGGTACACTGGCATAAATTGCCTAGGGAATCTCCATCATTGGAGATATTTAAGAGTAGGTTAGATAAACATTTATAATTGAGGATCTAGAACAGTGGTTCCCAAACTTTTCGACATCACGCCCCCTTTTTTTATGTTTGAACAACCCTCACGCTCCCCTCACCCCAACCGCAAAACTTATTGAGCAAAAAAAAAAAAAGGAGGAAAAAGGGAACTGAAAAGGGCAGCAAAACTTGATGGGGGTGGGGGAGGATGGGTCACCTTGCGCTCCCCCTTGAATTTCTTCATGCCCCCCCCCAGACAGCATGCCCCCCAGTTTGGGAACCCATGATCTAGCAGATGTTTTGTCCTGCTGTGAGGCTAGGAGACTGGACTTGATGATTTCTTGAAGTCCCTTTCTGATTCTATGATTCTATGATCCCTGCCTGCCACGTAGAATTCTGGGTATGCTTATTTGTATTTCTTATGACTTATAATGCTCATCCGGTTTGCAATGGTTTCAGAGAAGTGCTCCTTTCTGAGCTTCAGCACATTTGGATGTTTGCTAAGCTTATGTTTAATTCATTCAGACTTGGATCTGAAAAATGTTGTGCATCTGTAGTTCCCATTCAGCCACAACTAAAAAGGAACATTCACAATTAAATTTTGTATCAGGAACATCAGTAATCAGATTTGCCCTGCTTTCATGCTATAAAACGTCAATAGCAAGCTCCCACCCCCCAAAAAACAAAAACAACCCCTCCAACCAAACAAAAAAACCAACCAAGCAAATTAAAAAAGGGAACCTGTATTTCTTTCTTTCTATCTATCTATCTATCTATCTATCTATCTATCTATCTATCTATCTATCTATCTATCTATCTATCTATCTATCTATGATGTGATATGATATATGATATAAAAACAAATACTGATTGTTTTTCTTCTGCAGCTGGGGAACCAGATGGGGTGCTAAAGGCTATATTCGGATGGCAAGAAACAGAGGCAACCTTTGTGGAATAGCTTCACTTGCCAGTTATCCACTGATGTGAAAAATAGAGTCAAATATGTTTTTTAATTCATTTTATTCTCTCAGTTCCCCAAAGAACTGTAGTCTTCAATAAGTCCTGTTTTGCATTATACAAATTCGATGGACCCCAAAGATCTATTAAAGTCAAGAACAGAAAAGTTATGTAGGAAGAATCACTGCTTGCTATGAAATTTCATGAGTACTAATTATAGCCTTCTTGGCATATTGCTTTCACGTTTAACCAGCCTGAAGCAGCATTCAAGAATCTACATCAACTACTTCTGCCAACTAGTCACATGATACTGATTCTTGTTTCATTAAAAAAGTGAAAAACAGATGCTTGCCTAATGTTATTTTTCTATGTAGGCAAATGCTATTAGTGTCACAAGTAGGAATGGAGGTGGTGCCTGTGTTCACAAATGAAGGAGATATGTCATTGGAACCATCTCTTTATTAAAGTATGGTCCACTCTATGAATACTGTAGATTCTAATTTTTGTAATGATGGCCATATAACCACCAAAGCCATATATTTACCAAGACAGATTGCTCAGAAAAAATGAGAACCTTGAGGCTTTACAAGTGAAACTGTTGCTTTTTAATTTGCAAAAAATGTTCTTAAACATTTTTTTTTAAACCTCTTGAAAAGAATTGGACATGCTAAATGGGAGATTTACTGACATTAAATCATTTCAAAATTGTATCTCAGGTACTACAATATTTTGTTTTTTTCCAAAGATCCTGGATTTTTGTGATTATGTGAGAATCTCAGCCTTCTTTTTTATTTTTATTTTTTTGTGGATAAAAGGTTGAAAATATGACCCAATTGAACCCTACAGGCTCAAAGACCAGCAGGCACACCTAATATATTTTACATCTCATGATTTTAAAATCTAATCTCATGACTGGGGGAAGCATGACTTCTCACTTTTGAAAATTTGGGATTGGCAATACCCATGTTATAATCTTAGAAGGTGATGTATTATGAAAGCTGCATGTATGATAAGTCAGAATCGATGTTAGATGTTCTAGTGCTTGTCTTGCTTCCTGGGTTTCTTGGTAATTAATGTCTTAGTCTGTTGATTCCACAAGAATTACATTGGGATAACAGTTGGTATAATCTTTCAGTATGACGTTTGTATTACTTTTAAATTATGCATTATTAAATGACAATCAAAGATGTTTTCTCAAAACTTTCCTAACAGGCTGATTGTAAGATTTTGCAAGCATTACTTTCCACAGAAAGCTTTAGATTGTAGTGGTGATCAGTGTCTGTACAGTATTGTGTAGATGGAACCAGGACAGTAAAAGACATTTATTTAGAGCAATTAGCTAAAATTGTGGTATTTATTCCCTTTATTATTAAATTAAAGCAAAACCTGAAAGATTAGGCTTGATAGTTGGCTAGTTTAATTTTTAACTTAGATTTCATTTTTTATATAGTGCAGAATATATATTTTTAAAAATACAGTTCATAAAAAAAAATTTTTAATTAAAAAAATCCATTTTGGCAAAGAAATGTAGAACAATGAAAATGTAGCAGGAAATACATTCCTCTCCTAATACTTTCCTTCAAATATTGCCATACTATAGTCAATATGTGTATGTGTTGTGTGTATGCTGTATTCCCTCCATGGATGGACTATCCGCTATGATCTAATGTTTGTAATACACAATATGAGCTTTACAACTGTTACACAAGTGTGTGTGTTTCAATGGCTCTGTGATTTACACTTGTCTCCATAAGTAGTCCACATTTTCACCTGCAACCCCACTTTCCTTCCCCAGGTGTCCCCCTGTGAAGTCTCGGCTAACAGAGGGAAAGGAAAAGGTGTGGAGTCTTGGGACATTGCTGGGCGGGTGTGTGTGGGCAAGAGACAATGGCACAAGTACAGAAATGGGAAGTGTTTGCAGGTGGTAGAGGGCAGGGAGCAATGGAGAAAGGGGAAGAGCCACTGACAGCATGAGAAGGAAAAGAATGAAGAGCCTTTGGCTCTGCCTACACCACAAAAGTGGCCCTGGACTGTCATGCTGTAGCCAATTTCAGTGTGGATGGATGGGGTTCTCTTGCACCTGCCCCAGAGGGTCAGGATGATCTTACAACAGAGCATAGGAAACAACATTTTTCACGGCCTGGAGCCATGCAGCTAGGGCAACCTAATATTGTCAGTGTAGACCAGGTCTTTGCACCTGACCTTAGACTTGGGGGAGGCAAAGGTGCGAGAAGGTGCAAAGAGCCTTTGCATATTGCCTCAAAGGAGGCAAAGGTGTGAGGGGAAGGTGTGAAAACCCTTTGCACATGGCTCCAAAGGAGGTAATGGTGCAAGGGAAAGGTGTGAAGAGCTTTTGCACGTTGACCCAAAGGAGGTAAAGGTGCAAGGGAAAGGTGTGAAGAACTTTTGCACGTTGACCCAAAGGAGGTAATGGTGCAAGGGAAAGGTGTGAAGAACTTTTGCACGTTGACCCAAAGGAGGTACTGGTGCAAGGGAAAGGTGTGAAGAGTCTTTGCACGGGCCGTCAAGGCGGAGATGAGGGGACAGGGTGCCACAGGGAAAGGCTGCAGGCTTTGCACCCCAGCCCCAGGGCGGGGCGAGGAGGGGAGCCTTGGAGGGGCTGTTGCACACGACCCTTGCTGGAGAGAGGCGCGCTACTTCCCTTGGTGGTGTAGGGCGAAAAGGCGGGAAAGCATTTGCACACGGCACCAGGGTCGCAGGGGCACAAGGGAAGGCGGGGGCAGAAGGGAGGAGCGAAAAACGGTTACGTTGC